TCACTCTCTTGGAAAAAGTACTGCATCCTCTTTTGCTCTTCACTAAACAGGGTTTCTCTTCTTGAACCCTGACTTTAGTGAAAACTGCCTTGGAAAAGAGGGCTTTTCTCCTACAGATGACAGATGTATCACGTTCTAAGGTGACATTTGCTTGTGCACTGGAGGAGTTTCTGATTCCCTTGCTGTGAATGCTCTGTGACACGTGTTGTGTCTGCACCGGAGGGTTAAGTGTCATTGAAGAAGAAGCTGGTGTTTTGAAGAGACCTGTGTGAACAGAGGGAATACAGCAGGAGCGAGGGGAGGGGAAAGGAGAGCTGTAGCAGCAGATTTTCTGGAGCCCCCATCACAAGAGAGACCCGGAGCAGTTAGACTGGGACAAGTCCAGAGGAGGCCACGAGGATGATGTGAGGGCTGGAGCAGCTCTGCTGTGAGGACAGGATGAGAGAGTTGGGGCTGTTCAGCCTGGAGAAGAGAAGGCTCCAGGGAGACCTTCTAGTGGCCTCCCAGTACCTGAAGGGGCTCCAGGAAGGTGGGGAGGGATGTTTTATAAGGGCAGTTAATGACAAAACAAGGAGAAATGGGTTTAAACTGGAAGAGGGGAGGTTTAGATTAGATATTAGGAAGAAGTTCTTCACTGTGAGGGTGGTCAGACACTGGCCCAGGTTGCCCAAGGAAGTTGTGGCTGCTCCTCCCTGGAAGTGTTCTCGGCCAGGTTGGATGAGGCTTTGAGCAACCTGGTCTAGTGGAAGGTGTCCCTGCTGCTGGCAGGGGGGTTGGGACTGGATGAGCTTTAAGGTCCCTTCCAACCCAAACCGTTCTATGATTCTGTTGTTTGGGTGTTTCTCTGAGCCGGGTGCCTGTGTTGTGTTTGGAGTGGTCTGGGTGACAAACTCTCCTTCCAAAGGCTGTAAGGATGCAAGCAGGAGTGGAGGTGACCCAGTGTCAGAAGGGGATGGTCTCCAGGCAGTTCTTCCTCCCTCTCTTTATGTCAAGAAAGAGTTACGAGCTGCAGATGAGCCAACAGAGCTGTAAGCTTGTGTACGCAGTGCAGTCTGAGTGTATTTGGAAAGGAAAATCTCATTTGGGGGAAATCTTACGTGTTATTTCCCCGTGGCTGGACCCTGATCTAAACAGAACTGCAGAAAAGGGAAAGAATGACCCAATAATATCTTGATGTTGCAGCAGGCGACTGCCCAGCGGGTTCACTACAGCGCTGTGCCATACATCGGATCAAAACTGGACACTCTGCTTGTGGGAGACAGCCACGAAGGGAACATTGTGTCTTGTCCAGACCAACATTTGGAAACTGTTTTGTCATTCTTGATTGCAGCTTGGGGCTTCAGCCACTGGCTGACACAAAGGAAACCTCTAAGGTGCTTAAACCAAAAAAGTACAGAACCAAAACACCTAAATTGTATGTTGGAATTCCTGAAGTGGCCAGTCAGAATCTGATTTCATCATTCTGTGAAAGATATAAACTTGTTGAACATCAAATCTAAGTTACAATATATCACTAAAGATTTTCCAGGAGGAACTGGCGCCTGGTGAGATTACAGACGCTGTGCTTGGGGATTTTAGGAGTGGAAAATGATTTAAACCTTCCATCACACTGGTACATAAATGGTTTCTGTCACCAGTTTTCATGCATCTGGTGGTTCTCTCTGCTTGTCAAGCAGCTGTAGCTGACTGGTAATGGAAGCTTGTCTCTTGGATGTAGCTGTGGCTTGGTGCTAACCGCTCGCTGCACTGGTTTGGTTCAGATCAGATCTGTAAATCTGCGCTGTAGCTTTGAGAGAAGAGGAAACTCAGTGCCCCACGAAGGTGAGTTGACTGTGTTTGTCCTGAGCGCAGCGTTGTTGCTGTGGGGCAGGAAGGGACATTCCTTCCTCCTTGGCTTTGAGCTGGGACTGCTCCTAGCTCATCCCGTTGCTGGGGGTAAGCAGCCTTGAAAGCTTGGGGAGTGATGGAAGCGCTCACACCAGCAAACAAAGTGGTAGGAGATGTGGATCCTGGCTGTGCTGCAGCGCTCCTTGGGCTGTGTGGGTTCTGTTCAGGTCTGTCACTTGCAGTTTCTAATTATTTCCTTTTCTATGAAGTCTTTTTCCCATGTTTTCTCACAGTGAGACCTCCCATCCCCAAGCAGAGAGCCAAGGTAGCTACCAGATCTAGCGCATGCAGTGTGTTAGTAACGCCGCAGCACACGATCCCGTCCCTGTGTATTTCCTTGCAAGGTGCCTGGATGTGTTAAACTTTCCTGTGAATTATTTTGTGTCCTCTACCAGCAGGAGACAAAACGCTGGCTGCTAGAGGACAGTAAAATCATCTGAAATGCACACTATCATTTTCTGCTTGTCTTCAATTAAACTGATTACCAGACTTCTTTGTTTTTTTTCAGAGCTCAGACTGTTTCACATGCTGCCAGCATGTACTTTGGCAACCGTGGGCGATGGGATTTCCTGCATTGTTTGAGTCTTTGCCGTTGACCTTTGTGGTCGTTGTTCTGGCACTGCCTCTGCTCTGGCAGGGGTGCAAAGGGCATTGTTCAAACCCGGGAAGAAAAGAGAAAGAATTGCTTTAAAGACATTGAGGGCTTTTTGTAATCGGTGGCTCCTAGGGTCATCGCTGCAAAAGGAGAGGAATTGCTGGGGCTGTCAGGGTAATTATAACTTCTTTTATTGTTCTCATCCCAGTCTAGATGACAGTGGTGTGATTTCTAGTGAGTCATAAAAATATGCCTTCCAGAGAGCATTAAGATGGTGGCCCTTTGGGACTAAGAGAGGAGAAGCCTGATTGTGGGTCTTCTCGGGAAGTCTCATGGGTGCTGGAAGCACTCAGCTGTGCCCTGGTTTCCCAGCTCCATACTGGGAGCTGTGAAGGGTTCCACTGGAGATGCCAGTGGGGTTGTGCTGGAGCCCTGTCGCAGCCCAGGCTGTGGACGCTGGTTACTGCAGCGTTGGAGAAGATCCACCTCTCCCTGCCGCTGGAGACGGGCATGTCAGAGATGGATGAGCCATCTGCCTTGTCGCGAGGGAGGCTGCGTAGCTCATCCCTGCACCGTCCCCCATCGCTGCGGTGGCGGTTGCTCTGCTCTGGTAAATCATTTGCTCAACTTGTGCCTGGAGCTTTGTACCTTGAACCTGCCAGAGGTCAGGTGCTGGGCTGGCTCCAGTAACGGAGCCGTGCTCAGCTCACTGGCACGATGGCCAGGTCAGGGGAAGGGCTGGATGCACAGCTCTTCCTTTTCTTCCCCTTTCCCTCTGGAGCCTTTCCACCCTTGTCAGGTGCCTGCAGTTGGTCTGGAAACAGCCGGACCTCATGGAGCTGACTGGTGTTGCTGGTGAAGGGCAGATCAGGTCTTTGGATGATCTTTGTGAGGAGATACAGCTTCTACATTATTGATTTAATTGCATTTGCATGGTGTTGTGCAGCTTGAATTAAATTGCCTGGAGTGAGATCTTGTACTTGATGTGCTGTTGTAGAATAAATGCCGGAGTGCTTGGGTTGGAGTAACAGCTTTGTAACTCCAGCCTTATAAGTCCAGCAGGCACTGAAGGTATCTGGGGGGTTGGCAGCAGCATACCAGGCTGTCCTGCTCGCCCTGTGTCCTCAACCCTGCCTTGCCATAGCTCTGTGCCCCCTGTGATTTGTACCTCGAAGAGAAGAGGCTTCTGCAGCTCTTCCCTGTGGTGGGACAGGGACAACCTGGGCAGATGAGACCCCCCACCAGTCAAACCTGAAGGAGCCTGGCCTCCCAAGGGTGACTCTTATATTTCTTTGAACCTGTAAATGAATTTGGGCATGAAAGGTGAGACATAACGAGCCCTGTTGTTGTTGGAGTTGAAGGCCCCAGCTCTGCATCGCGTGTCGGTGCTGAGTTTAAGCTATTTTCTGCTGGGGAAGTAAATTGCTCCAGCAGACAATCCAGGCACGTGACTGCTGGGGCATGGTCATGGAAAATTGGCTCGGTTGTCATGTTTATTTGCTCTGATATAACTTTTTATGACACTGTCATGCAGCTTTTTCCAAGGCTACTGGAATGTGTTATTCTTTATTTCTTCCCTTCTGCTATCTTTTTAAAGAAACCCTATCAGAGAAGCTGTATATAAAGTTGATTTTTATTGTTGTTGTGGGCAATGAGTTACAGGCTTCTGTAACTGACTTAGGGCTTTTTCTTTTTTTCCCTTTTTATAATAAATCAGCATAGAATGCCTGTTATTGTAGCTGTAGCTCAAGATTATCGTTTATAGCAGGAGAAACTAAAGTAGCAGTTGTTAGTTAGCTCTTCTTCCATTCTGATGAAATCATATTTGCCTGATTTTAGTCTCAACTCGTGCCTTCTTTTTCCTCTGGAGAGGGAAGTAATCGCTCTCTTGCCTTCTGTAGGGCTGGGCTGCTAAATTATCAAGCGGTTTCTCAGCTGAGAAGGTGTTGAATGGCTTTGGTTTGTTCCTGTATAAAATACGCTGGTGTTTGTTTCACTCCCCTGGGGAAGCTCAAGTGCTGGTTATGGTAGGGAACAGCCTGATGTTGGGTTATAAAGGTCACGAGTGTTTCCTTTCACCTCTCCAGCCAGGAGTCAGACTGACATAGGCGGGAGGTGGCAAGAAGTCTTTGCAGCAAAAAGAAGCTTTTGATGGGCTTTTCCTAAGGGAGACCTACAGACCGGTCAGTGCATTCGCTGTAGAGGCTGTAGCTTCTGTGTCCGGGTCTAGCAAAGCTGATGTCCTTCTCTGAAGAGGAAATAGTGCTATTCCTGCATCCCCCAGTCTCTCCCCGCTGCTCTGTGTGGGAGACCTCTGGTACCAACAGCACACTGTGTCCGACTCTGTGGCAATACACTGATTTGCTCACCTCCTTTTAAATGTTCCCAGTGTGAATGTAGTAGTAACAGAATATTTTGTCATTTTTTTTAATATACTCCAAAATCTGCTTTAACTGCTTTTCCCATCGTTGCAGGTGAAGGGGGAGAAGGGCGTCTGAACACCGATGAATGAGCTGCGATGGATAACAAAGACTCGGAAGCTGAGATCCACCCACTGAAGACTGAGGACGTGAAACCTCAAGAGAACCATGAAAACTCTGTGGAGAGAAGAATTGTCAGCAAGCAGTCATCACGGCTGTCTCGGCTGTCCCGGTGGCGCACTGCCGCCTTCTTCATCTCCTTATTTCTCTGTCTGATAATTGTGTTTGCTTTCTCATTCATCATTCCTTGCCCTGAGAGGCCAGTTTCAGAAAGAACATGGTTCCGAAACTACGACAATGCAGGTGAGCTTGCTGTAGCAGAATAAATACTGACCAACAATCCTTTTCCTTTATGTGCCACAAATTTGAATGGTGGAGCTCTACCTAAGCGTGATCTGGAGCCAGGCCTGCAGGGATGCTGCCCTTGGGAGCCAGAGCTGTGAATACCTGACCTGGATAAGCAGTGGCCCATCATAATTGCAGTGGCCTTCCAGGAGGTGTTTACAGGATCTAATGGAGAAATTAGATGCTGCTCTGAAGCGCTAACAAGGTACCAGGCTGGCCTCGTTTGGAGAAAAAAAAAATGAGGAAGGATATCTGGGAATAAATCTTTGTTGAAGTTTGGGCTGTAAAATGTTGCCTTGAAGTTTGAGCCGAGGGTTGAGGACAACTAGGCATTCCCCCTCTGTCACTATGACTTTCTAACTTTTCTCCATGGCTAACAAGAAATGGAGAAGAGGAATTGCATCTTGGGTTGTTTTTTATAAATTGCACAAATTTATAGTTGTGTTAGTCAGCTCTTTAGCCTGGGTACTGCTCCCTGGTGGCTCAGCATTCCCTTCTCTGAAAGCTTTTCTTTATTCTTATGTGCAGGGGATGTGTGCTGGTGATGCTATAAATGCAGAGATAGTGCTCACCAGCGGGGACTGAGCTTTGTGTGTTAATGCAGAAATCCCAGGTTCTGCTCTCTGAGCTGAAGAAGGATGCTTTTAGCTGAGAGTGAGAAAGATGAAATATCTGAGGCTGCGTGTCATGGATTTTGTTTGGTTTTATTTTGATATTTTGGGAATGGCAACCCCACACCAAGACCATGTTCTTTCTTCAACATAGTTCAAATTCCGGCTGCTTGATTTTAAAAAAAGAGAAATCCTCTGGGGGATAACAAATATAAACAATCCTTTGGCAGAAACTTCCAGTCCTGAGTACTCACGTAGATGGCTTTTTTTTAAGCCAGTTTGTCCTGATGTTACACTGTCAGGGATGGAGGCGGTGAGTAGGACTCTAGGAAGTTGTGTCTTGCTCCAGCAGTCCTCACCAGTGCCTTGTGATCTCTTTTACAGTGGCCTACCAGTTTCTCGCTATCGAAGATGCGAACGAAGACAAAGTGCAAGATGTCATCTTTGCTTTCAAAGCTAGCAACAGCAGCAGCAGCTTCAACAGGTCCTGTTTGGATGAAGGTAGCTGATTCAGAAAGAGAAAACCTTGTAGTAAAAGGGCTGTTGTTTCTCTTTTATTTCTAATTAGCGAGGCTGCTGTGGGACTGGGAGAGAAAACCAGGTTAACTGGGTGGGGAGAGGAACTGGGTGAGTCCCAGCTCTCGGGTGGTGTGGGGCAGCAAAGGAAGGTGTAGGTAGTGTTCCCTCTGACATGTCTTCTCCTCAGGTCTGCCTTCTCCCTGTGCCTTTGTTGCTGCTGTGTCTGGCACAAACGGCAGAGCGCTCTGGGAGAGACCTGCTGCTGAGGCTATTGAGTGGATGGAGTGTGGCATCCAGCAGCTTGCGGGGGGGCTGAGGCCCCGGGCTGCCTGGTGGTGGGGAAGCCGGTGTCTCTTACAGCAGTTGACCTGCGGACAGGTGAGTGGGGAGCAGAGTACTGCTGCCATACAGGGGACGGTGCTACCTGCACCTGGTCACCTTCAGAATGCAGAGACTGGGGACATCAGCGTGACATGACTTGCTGGTACATGAACAGGAGGCACGGGGTGTTTATTATCTTGAAGCCCTTGCCAGAGCCATTTGCTGGGCTGTTGAGAAGCTCCTGTTCTCTCAGCCTCTCTGTTCCAAAGGCTGGACTCTGTTGTGGTGGTTTGGAACAGCCGTTATTATAAGAACTTTAACTTTTCACCAGCTTTTGATGCAGGAGAAGCAGTCACTAGCTGTGAACGTTACTTTACACTGTCAGGGTCTGGACCCAAACTCGCAATGTTTCTCAGTAGTTTGTGAGTGCTAGCAGTGCCTGCAGTGGCAAGAGGAGTGGGTGTTTTAGGGATTTATGATTTTAAAGTCATCAAGAAGAGCATTTGGGATAAGTGCTCCCTGGTTTCAGTAGTCCAGGATTTTCCCTGGTTCCTCTGGACAGCCTTCTTCATTTCTGAATGAAGGCTTTAGCACAGGTTATTTACAGACTATTAATGAAGCAGTTGCTTTTAGATCAAAGTTTAGAAAGGTGACTGCTGAGCCAAAGGCCTGTAACTAAAGACAGTCATAAAGAAACAGCACGAGCATGGAGAGAGGCAACCAGGCTAGGCCACAGGTCACAGCAACAATATGGTAAGAAAACATTCCATAGATAAATTAAAAGCAAGAGATGAAAAATTGCTTCAGATAGAAAAGTGAATAACCTCGAAGTTTGCATATTTGATACCTTTTTGTGATTAAATAGGTTAAAAGGGGTTTCTTGGCGTAAATGACTTTTACTGGGGTTTAGGATGACAGGTCAGAATAAAATGTATTTAAGTAGGCTAAATGTATTTAAAGTGGCAAAGTCTGACTTATATCACATTGTGCTAAAAACAGTAGACAGAACAATCTTTAGCTGTTAATGATTCATCGTGGTGGAGGACTGGTGAGATTCCAGGGCTCTCAGGCTGCCTAGCCTCTGCCTGTAGGAAGACTGAAGGAGAGGTAGGCAGATTATCATCTGGAAGTGTCTGATGTGGTTTTGATTTTTAAATGCTGATAAAGTTACTGCTTTTCTGTTAATTCGAGTTGTGTTAAGTCTTGCTTCCCTCATTGCCAGAGTAAGCGACCTGAGCAAACAAGATGGAAAGTGTAGGATTGCATGCTCCTGCTTGTGTGGGACATCTGACATTCCTGCATGTTTATCTTACAAGCAAACTGGGACGTGGGAGCTTAATATTAACTGTTCCAGGTCAAAGCAAAAGTCTGTGTAGCTGCGTATTCCATCTCTGCCAGGGCCAGAAGCACAGTCTTGAGGAAGAGGACAGGAGTGAGTGTTTTGCTACACCTTCTCTCTTCACCTTCTCCTCCAGCAGCCTGCATTGTGAGCCCTGTGAGCAGTTCTCATCTCCTAAGGGATGTGGCAGAAAGGGAACCACAACAATCAGATGTATGAAATGGCTTCTGTGCAAAAAATCACTAAATAAACCAGAACTCCAGCCTGCAGAATGTGTGACAGGGAGAAATTAGTCTATAAAATTATGAGTGATAAGCAGAAGAACAGGGAATTATGATTTCCTGTTGCAGTTCTTTATTGTTCAGAAAAACCAAAAGGGGATACTTCTTCACACCCACCGTACAGTGGATGCCAGGAGCTTACAAGTGTTTAGTAAACAAGTGGGCAAGGGCAGGGGAGAGGGGTCTGACACTGCTGGGTAAAAAAGACCCACCTTTAGCTCAGGGAGCTTGTGAGCTGCAGACTGGGAGAGCAGTCTGGATCTGTGTATGGACCTCATCCAGCCTGAAGCAAATGACCCTCCTTTGTATCCTCTGTGGCTGCTTGAAGTGAGAGCTGAACTGTCATCTAAATCCTAATTTTATCATTCCTTCCAGACCAAAAGAAAAAAAAATCCTTTCACACAGGTTAGATTTGCTGTCTAGGCACTTATCTAATTTCCATCTTGGCTTTTGTTACCATGCTTATGCTGTGACCTCGGGCTCTGAGGAAGCACCGTAGCATTCGAGATGTCAGACAGAATTGTCCCATCTCCTGTTGATGGAGCAGGATGAGGCTGGATTCACAGTGCCTGCTCCTTGGGGGTTGTGTTAGAACATGAAAGCTTCTCAAGTCCTCTGTGTTGAATCTGTCTACCTGTTTCTATTAAGCCAGACTGCTCTTTTAAGAGAGCAGGATGCTTCCTCCAAAACTATATCCACTGCCTAACCAGCAAAGAATGCCTTATGCATTGAAATGTGAATTTCACCAGCCTGGACTTAGAGCTCTAGCTTTAGACTGCGCTGAATTCAGCCAGGATATAGTTATTTAAAACTGAAGTTCTCTCCTTCCTTTGCCTGTTTGTTTTCTTCAGGGGTAAAATTCGTTACCTTCCCATGTTTTCCTAGGGGCACTCTTCTATTTCATGTATGTTGTCGTAGTAACAAATCCAAGTATTTTTTTCAGTGTTTCAGTAAAAGCTTTGGAGGAATCCTACTGGAAATACAGCCTGCCTTAAATTATTGCAGATTACTACAGCATCAGGTAGTAATTCCTTGGCCTGCAGTACAACTGCCTTCCTGACAAAGAGCAGATGATTACTTTGCATTCCTGAAATGCTAATTGCTGTGTGTGATACTGTTTAAAGGGGAGGGTGAGCGTCCCCTCTGAGCACCTAGCTAGTCACTAAAGTCTTCCTTAAAAACAAACCTCCCCAACAGTCTCCCCCCACACCAAATTCCACTGCAAATTCTACTGGGCAGTGACTGGAAAATGGCCAGCAGCCCTGGGCAGTGTATGGAGCAGAGCCACTCAACTGGCCTGGAGCTGTTGAAGAGGAACCCACCACCCCACACACCCTGTTATTTTAAAAATCAAAGCTTTGCTATCTCTATTTACAAACAAGTTTGAAAGTGCTCTGTGTGTTCTTCAAACGAGGGAGAGGTGGGATGTGAACGGAGTCGCGGCTGCTCGTGTCAGTGTGGAACATCTGCAGGAGGCAAGTTGCAGCACAAAAGGTTTTGTCAGGAGTGGCTGCAACACTGTGGTCAGAATTCAGGTTCTTTATGGTCTTATAAAATGTCTGCGTGGATTTAAGTACACGGCAGCAAGGTTTTAGATCACAAAAAAGGATTCTCCATGTCGTGAACATGCTGGGAAGCTTGTTAACCTAAGGCACAAGCTGTTCTTTGTGCTCAGGGTGTTAGGGTGCATTTGTGCAGGCAGCTAGAATTACTTTCCAATATAAGCTGAAATTGTGGATATTTCTGCATTTGAAATGCAACAAAGTACCCCATGATGAGCATAAATGTGCCTGGCTGGTGGTGCTGATGGGCAGTAAATGGCTGGCTACTGCAAAGTGCTTCCAGGAGCAGGGGCATTAAAAGGCTTTCAACCTAAACTGTGTTTGAGTGAATGTTTCCCAATAACTCTGTCTTCTAGGGGAGGTTCGGTGGAGACAGTCCAGTGACTTTGGAACTAATTATACTGTGCTGACTCCTGTGTCAGTGATTCCAGATGTGGATAGTGATGGAGTTCAGGACCTGATAATCTTTATTGCTACAGGAGATAAGGTATGTCACTCTGAAGCTGTGATAAACCCAGTGACTGGACAACAGGGCATGGCAGGAATGTTATTTATTTCCATCTTGTAGTCTAAGAGGAAGTGCCCAGAAGTCTCTGGTATCTGTGGGATTGGGGTAGGTTCTTTCCCACCCTGCAGAGATGTACTCCCAAATCAATGCAAGTGGTTTATGTTTGGGGTTTTTAAAAAAAAAAAAAAAGAAAAAAGAAATAGACTGGCCAAGAATCTCTCCCCCTTGTCAGTCCTCACTCCTCGCTGCGTGTTCCCAGGCTGTGTGTGGGGTGAGCCTAGGCAAGATGAGCTTGCAGTTTTCTGGGAGTCTGCTCAGAGAAGTGGAAGTGAGCAAACCCTGACAGGTTTGGCTCTTAGATCAAAGCATGGCTGACAGCCAGCACTTTTGTACCACCACTGCCCCGTTCCGATACCTTTCGTATCTCTGCCTGTGGTCTGCTTTGCACGGGTCTCTTCTAGTGTCACCGTGCTGCTGAATTCTGTCTTGGGTTCATTTAGTGAAATAGCTGCTAATTGTGTTATCTCTGTTCCAATATTGCTTTTCTCATTTCTTAGAGGGGGAGAGTCTTGTAGGTAAAAAGTGTTTTTATGCTAAAACATCTGTGTCCCTGATGGAGTGGGACAGCATCATCTGCGTGCGCGCTCTGTCCTGTTTAAAGCACACAAAAGTTAGGGTTCCCTGCCAGTCTGATGGGAGGAGTGGGAGTCCCGTGTCCTCATCATACCAGAGCACTCCATGAGCAAATAGGGTTTTGCTGTCCAAGGCATTGTTGTTGCCAGAGTCATCAGAAATTCTATCCTCTCTGACTCCTACGTTTCTCTTGTTTTCTTTCCTCCTTGCTTTTGCTATCCCAGTTATCTCAATACTTTTTATTATTATTTCTTTTTTAATCGTAGGCGGCCAAGAAATGTTTGAATGTAGTCTCTGTTCTCCAAGACTGCCTTTTGATTTGTTTTCCATTTAACCTCTCTAGCTGTCTTGGTATGAGATCCCTTCCTCCCTCCGGACTTGGCAAGCACTCTGTCAACTTAAGGAAAAGAACATTCTTTTTTGAGAAATCACACAAAATGGAGGGAGCTCGAGTGGAGCTCTGCAGCTTGCAAAAAGGCAGATTCAGAACTTCAGTAAATTAGCTTTGTTGCTAACATGGGCTGAAGTTGAACATGATGTTATACTGCTGTTTCCTGAAATGGCAGAGCTTTGAGCAGTCTGTGGGGAAGGGTCTGTGTGTAGGGGGTTTAAATGGCAGCTTTTTTTGTGTGTGTGTGGAAAAATAGGACATTTTTCAGGACACATCACCTGTAGGAGCACGTAGAGGTATTGAGCAATGCAGTGAGTAAGGTGGTGTGCATTCTCACTG